TGAAAGAAACCAAATGAGAGAAAATATATGCAATAGAGAGAGAAAGATGGAGAGTTTTTGGTGGCCTAAGTTTTAAGCAGGTCGCCTTGTATTTCAAATATAAGAATTATCCTTGAGTTCTGAGTGGAGCTTGCCGCTTCAGAAACACCTCTTGACTCAGATATCTGTTATCAGTTTCAACAGGCTCTACCACTTAATGGAACCTTTTATCTCTTCCACATACTATCTCTTATGTGATCTCCATTAGAGCTAACTCAAACTCTCCTCTTCCTATTCGGGTTTCGCACTACAGTCCCTTGGCGTTTAATTAGTCCGTCGGTATTTCTTTCTGCAAGTTTCCTGGGTAACAGGTGGTTATCAGCTTCAGCGCTTATCAGATATTAAGTATCAAGTGAAAGGGAAAGATTAGATTGAAAAGAACAAGAAGTTCAGCAAAGATGGCGATCCTTTCGTCGATTTCATTCTAAAAAGCTGTACAATCGCATTTATATAGATTAGTTTACATGGATACAATTTTTATTCGTTTAATTCCACATAGTAAGGAAGGTATTAATAATCTTCAACTTCATATGAAAGTTCGAAGGTACGAATATAGATTACAAGAGGCTTAGAAACGAAAAATTACACAGAGGATTAGTATATAATTGTAAAATGGTTATTCTAAACGGATTAAAAGTGTATTTAGGAGGAGCATGGATACAAACTTAAAATAACTGATTTTATAACTGGAGAATTAGGATGAATTGAATGAAGACAAAAAGAGAAAATGACACACACAGAGAACAAAACAAAACAAAACAAACTAAAGGATATAGGAATACACTGAACTAGGTCCATGGTAGTTGTAAAGGCTGGACTACTTTCTTTTGAACACATAGCTCCGGCTTTTCAATGCATATAGCGAGAACTTTCGCGGTACAAAAAGTCGGAAACACACTGCCTTTTATAGACTTTTGTTTACTTTGTAAATAAGATAAGATAAGATAAGCTTTATTCCAAATCAGTACTTGTGATACAGAATGGAATTCTCAGCATTTTACTACAATATTGCATCCAGTTAGTACATTAACAATAAATATAGTTCTACATAGATTAAGGTTATCTCAGTCAGTTTTGACAACAACATATTAGCATGTCGGTAGCAAAGCCAAAATTTAAACAGAGTGTTTGAAGGTGTTAGAAAAGTAGATACTACTAGCATATTTACTGGCGTAAGCGATAGCAAAATGGTCGAGATATACAGAGTGTGAAAGAACGAATGTTTTAAGTAGAGTTTGCAAGGAAGAGAGAAACAAAACAACACATAACAAAAAAGGTAGAAAGAAAACGTTGTACCTGTAAATGATGTGAGTTGGAAAGACGAGATCCATTTGTTCTACTGACTATTTAATAAGTTAAAGGTTTCACGCCTAATGCTTTCTTTATCGCACAGAACACGAGCTAGGTAGGGTATGGATGAGTTTTTGTACTTACTAGTGCGGGCATATAGTTTCCTATATAGGCTTCTGGTTTTCCCTGAAGAGATACATGGGGAGAGTTGTGAATGTAGAGGGTGTTGTGAGTCAGATAAAATGGATTTCGCCCATTTTTCACATGAGTCCATGTGCCTGTCCACCAGAATATTAACAAGCTGGCTAAGTGGCAAACTGCTTACCCTGCTGACAACCTTTAACATCCTACGTAATAAGGTATAGTCTTTCTTCAATAGCCCAGGAAAGACTAAGGGGGAACAATAGAGAATAATAGGCAGAATACGGGAGTTAACAAATTGTAGGAGTAAGGGTTGGGTTACACCAGAATGTCTTAACTTCTTGATGTAGAAGGTAAGACGGAATATTTTCTTGGAAATCGTCAAGATATGAGACGACCAGGAAAGATCAGAAGATAGAGTGACGCCTAGGTATTTAATTTCCGACTTGGTTTCTATTTCAGTGCCATCTATGTTGCACACCTCGTGAGTGCTAACCAGTTTGTTTAGGTCAGATTTGTGCCTAAAGGTGAAATTAACTGTTTGGCATTTGGAGGGGTTTAAGGTGAGACCGTTTTCCTTGGACCATTGGCTGATTTCTGATAAGAAGCCATTTAGTTTAGAGCAGTCACTTTGACATTTGACAGGTAAAGATACAGTTAGGTCATCAGCATATTTGACAAAGTTAATGTCATTTGAAGACGGTAGGTCATGTAGGAAGAATGAAAAGAGAAGTGGGGAGAGTACAGCACCTTGGGGGACACCAGCTTCAGTGAGCACAGCAGAGGAGGATTCGCCTTTGTATACGGTGTACTGCATTCTGTTTGAAAAGTAGGAATGCAACCAGTTAGTGACCCAGGACTCGGTTTGTGTCATGGAGAGCTTATTTAGCAAGAGACATCTAGGTACAGAGTCGAAAGCAGAAGTGAAGTCAAGAAACGTGCAGCGGACATATTTGGCACCTTTGTCTAATGATGAGACAATACTGTTGTGTAAGACGGCTGCAGCGTCTAAAGTACTCCTACCCTGTCTGTAGGCAAATTGTTTGGGGTCTTCGAAGCTTTTAAGGGAGGGTTCGAGTTTAAGAAGTACTAGTTTTTCCATGAGCTTTAGAAACGGGGAAGTGATGGCAATGGGTCTGAACTTTACGTTCTTGCTATTGCCAGGTTTAGGGACAGGGACTATTTTAATGTCTTTCCATGGAACAGGTACAACGTTTTCGGAGAAAGAAGCATTTAGGATATTAGTTAGAGGAGAACATAAAGCATCTGCACATTGTTTTAGAACATATGCAGGTATGCCATCAGGGCCAAGACTATGTGAGGGCTTAAGAGTTTTAAGACATTTCAAAACATCGAGAGTATTGAAGTCCTGGAAGTTATCAGCTACAAGATTAGTAACGTTAGAAGTGGTTATAGTAGAAGGAGAGCGTATAAAAGACAGATTAAGAGCATTAACATCACAAGAGGGAAAAACATTACATCGCTTACTATTGCCAGTAATTTCATTGAAAAATTTCCACATGCTGTTAGGAGATTTGCATGATAAAAGTGTTTGGTTATAGATAGCATTAAGATTTTTGATTTCAGATTTGATTTGAGCATTAATCTTTTTAAGTCCTAACTTGTCTTTGCATTTATATAACATTTCTTTTTGCCTGCGAAGTTGTTTGAGATGGGGAGACGAGAAGCGGTCGAGGCGTTTGAACAGTGTTTGTTTGGGACAGCATATGTCGAGGCAGAACTTGAGATAATCCATTATATTGGTGATTGAGTCATCTAATGTACTTTCATAGAATAGATCCCAGTTGGTATCTTTTAACATGCATCTTAGATTGAGTAAGTTGTCAGATGTGTAGCTTCTTTGTTGTGCTATCGTAGACAGGTGTGAGAAGATTTTAATATGTGTTTTGCTGTATATTTTTGGCAAAACGCGGACAATGCAGTGATCGGAGTTATGTATCGGTGAACGTCTACGTGTTTCATATACTCCTTCGTCATTAGTAAAAACTAGATCGAGTGTTTTGTCAAGTCGAGTGGGAAATTTGACTATGTTTGTGTGACCAAGAGCTTCAAGAAAGGAGCAATCTGAGGTGTTGAAGTCTCCAGTAATAACGGATAGAGAGTTGTCGAAGTTGGCAGCAGCAAACATGGTGAATTCATCAGCAAAATTAGATAGATCAGATGGAGAGCAACTAGGAGAAATGTACATGTTTGTAATATAGATTTGTTTATATTTGGGGAGATGTTTGGGGCGACATTTGACAGTAATACAGTCAATGAAGTCATTTGAGAAGGTGAAGCAGACGTTATTTGAGACAGACCATTTGGAGTGAATAAAAGTTGCAACGCCACCACCATTTTTCTTATTACAACATTGACGGTCTTGACGAAATAAAATAAAGTCCTTTAGTGAGATAAGGTTGTCATCATACAGTTCATGCAACCACGTTTCTTGTAATGTGATTATGGCGGTGTTATGATACGTATCAGTTGACATCAAGGATTGTAGGTACATTATCTTGTTTGGCAGAGAGCGACAGTTTTGTTCATTATGACGGGGACCGTAGTTAAGTGTATTGGTGTACGTTTGAGAGCTCTCTGCCAACCACTACGATGTTTCCTCCTTGGTTTCTTTGGAATATGAAAGTCATTTGGTCGTAAATGATTAATAAAGTTACGAGAGTAAATGATTCTGTTAGAATTCATATTTAGGTGATAAATAAATGTTGGTAAACAGTAGACTGGATGCAAAATGTAGATATTATAGTAGCAGGCACAAAAATTCGAACAGGCCACCAAGGTCCCGATCAACTCTGAATGATGAGACAGTTGAGATTCTGTGACAGGTATTGACCAGATGTTCAGTTATTGGGCTTCTGACTGAACTAGTGCCTCCTCTTTGCAGCCATGCTGAATGATGTTCTCTAACACGTTTTGATAAGACTCCCATAGAACGACCTATGTACCTAGCTCAGCAAGAGCCGGTGAACTGATATATGTGCATGGAAGTGGTCATATACGGAAGTCTGTTCTTCCAATTTCTCCGAAGTAGTGGGCGCCTAGAGAATATCATTACTAGAGTTGCTGCCGGAGAAGTCTTCAGGGAGTCAGATATTCTCCTTTTAAGGATATCTACTGCTAGGTCTCCCCTGAATTCCCGATTCAAATAAAGTGTTTCCTTCTGCACTGAAATTTATTCTTCTTTTTGGCCTTGATTTCATGTTCTTCTCCACAAAACTCTTCTTCTAAAGAGTCATCGCTTCAAATTCTTGTGATACGGTGGACTAACCAGATAATGAGAGATCTTTTACGGCTGATAGGTATCCAACTATAAAAGTTACAATGAGTATTTTCCACGATTTGAAAGAGAAAGGTGCTAACGAAAACTCTTTTCTTTTGTTTGGACAACTCTCTGAACTCTATAAATGCACTGACGTTCATTCACTCATTAAAAATCGCCTATATTTTATTAATTATGACTACTAATATCAATTAATATGTCTTCTTTTACATCTATTATACAAATTTAGGCTTCTTATTTATCAGGAGAAAACACATCGTGGAGTTAAAAGTGTACTGGTCTTTCGAAAATTACGTTCCACTGATTTTTCTACCTATAATTGTACAGTATTCAACGATTATGGATCAGATTGGAGGCTGATATCATTAACTGATGACAGTAAGTTAATTTAAAAATTGTAGGATTTCTTTACAGAGTGTTTCTCATTTTGTATCTTAAAGTGTAATAAATTATTGTTTGATTTTAAAGTCTGTAATGTACTCCAATATTATAACTTATATGTCTGTCTGAATGAAGAATATTCTTTAGAATAAATTCTCTTCAGTTTCATCGACTTCTGGATAACAGCATCGTCTTAAAAATACTCCTTGAGTGGTTTTGACTCTCTATGTACTGCAGAATATAAGAAAATGTTTACAAATGTATGTTAAAAGAAGCATATAACTTCAAGACACCATATACTACTGATTGGTTGATATCAGTAGTTGGGCACCATCCATATCAAACAGCAGTGCTTGCTAGTCATTTCGCTTATTTTGGAGCTGAGTTTTTTTCAATTTTTTCACGTGGTTTGACTAAATTCAGAAAACTGAATCAGTTCAAACTACCTGATTTTTGGCTAACTTATTGGGGAAACTGGTGGTAATGGGTTATATCTCATAATGTAATCTAAATAAATTTAAATAATTTAGGTTTCCAGACGAAACTGTGGTGAAACTTTGTTTTTAGTTGTATAAACTGAGAATTGCGAACTTTTTCTGCAAATTAAAATTCTGATGAAACACATGGCTGAGGAATTATTCACTCATTATGATGTCAACATACTTAAGGGATATTTTAAGATAAATGGAAAATTTTGTACTGCAAATTCTTATTCTTTTGGGTTCCGAGTGGAACACAGGTGGGCTTCAACAACACATCTTCACATTCTTCTATTTTGACGCTGTCCGCTTCAGATGACTACCTCCACCATCGCCCATAATCTTTCATCTTAGCCTCTCTAAACGACCTCCTCCATGGTACCCTCGCACTGTCAACCTACTTGTCACTTCCCATTGGGATTGCACTCAATCAATGGCCTGCATTGAGCGGGAAAGCATTCGATGGCCACCTCAGCATATGCCCAATCCACTTCGTTTTTCTACTACATATTTGTTGAGCGGTCGGCTCTTGGTTGCTTTATTCCAAGCCAGAGTTTCTCGTTTCTAATTCTTTCTGGCTGACTGGCTGACTGACCATTCGATTTTCAGTATGGACCCTATGAGGCTGGCAGCTGCTGATAAAAGTCAGCAGTAGCCTGTCGGAAATGCTTTTCGTGACACACAGCACACGTTTATGACCTGCATAGACGAACCAACTGATTTCGCATTTGTGTTGAAAATCTCAATAAATAAAAAATTTAAAAAAAATTAAAAATTAAATTCCCAGTGGAACAAAGGACTTCAAGCTAGAGGGTTGAAGTTTCTGTAGCAGTGTTTAGTTTTACAGGATGGGGTTGCTAGCCTCATGCCCAACTTTTCGCCTTTACCAGCTTTATTTGTGGCTTACCAAGGTAAAGGAGTGCGTTGACCGCGGATCGAACCCCGAACCATGCGCATAGTAGGCGAGGGTCCTAACCACTGTGCCATCGACGCACGCATATATATATATATATACATAATAATGAATAATTAGTGACTAGCATTTGAATTAGTGTGATTAATACGAGGTGCAGGATCAGAGTTCAGGGATGTGAACTAGCGGATAACAATCGAGGTGATCATAATGATAGTAATAAAAACATAAATAATACCAAGTGTTTATATAATCTAGGCAACGGTGACGAGGTAGACAGAATGTGCATGTTGACAGGGGTAGAGGGGAAAACAATTATTGTCACGTGACGATTAGATAGTATAATAACAGAATAAAATTAAAACAATCATTCCTTCGATAAATTTGAGTAAAGCACTTAAAAAACAAATTTCGCAAGATGATGTCATTTCGTAGTTTCTATCTAGTATAAACGTTGTCTAATGAAACGTTTGTTCTCAAGGTCCCACAAAAGGTCCCTGCAAGAGTGACACATTGATGGATGAGCTTCGACGTGTACGTTTAGTTTTATTAGCTAATGGTTATCCGGAAAACTTTATCAGTTGTCATAGTAAGGAGAGATCACATCTCGAAAATGCAGCTTCTGTACCAAATAAAGTTATCTATCTTTATTGACCTGGTATTCAAGGATGACCAAATAATGCAGTTGACAGCTCAACGACTTCCGTCAGCCATCAAACGCACATTCTACGCCGCATCTCTTTCCTTCACATACTGAAAATTCTTGATACCTGTACCTACGATTAAAGGACGAAATTCTGTTCACTCTACTTCAAACTTTATCTACAAGTTCACCTGCAGTTATGGTGACACCTATATAGGTAGAACCAATAGAGTGTACCAATGTGGTCGTCAAAAATAAGATGTTCCAAAATGGTTATTAAAACATATAAAAAATCCAAAAGTAATTATTAATCTGAATAGCAATCCAGCATCACTCATTGCGAAGCAATAATTTTGCCAGGCCACAAAATTAATATTAATGACTGCTTCACAATTATTTCTCCACATAACTCTAATTCAAGGTTATTGAAGGTGATTGAAGCACTTTGAGTTGATCACATGCAGCATGAACTATGTGTACAAAAACAATAGATTTCAACCTTCCTTTGCCCACCATGGACTACTTGATCTATTTAAACATGATTGGTCATTAGTTTGTACTTTTGTTTTATATAACTGAGTAAATGTCATGCATTGTGTTTTATTGTCGTGAACCATGTTAATTGTAAAGAAACTACGAAATAAGGTATCGTCTTTCTCGAAATTGGTTTTCTAAATGCCTTATTCAAATATAATAATAGTTAATTGTGAAACCGACATTAAAATTTACAACTACAGCACGGGGAGATATTGACAATACAGTTAGCATTACAAATAAAATAAAATGAAAATATAATAAGGCAATATTTACAGTTATCCTGTGTGTCCCTGGAAGAGAGAACTAATTTAAGGTTAGACGTGTAGGTCAAGAGAGAGAGAGAGACAGGACAAAGGTTTTCTGAACACAGAGATTGTGTTGAAAAATCATTATGGCAACTTTCTCAGCTATGCTTATTAACAAATTCACATCCCTGAACTCTGATCCTACATATCTTATCAACCACACTCATCATACAAATGCCTATGGCTGACATTCCGTTATTATGTAAATGTGAAACCTGATAAGAAGTTACCTAGCATACGTATTGGATTGCTTAAATCGTTTTCTGACTGCAGCACTGGATGATGCGGGTTTGAATCTCCGAGCGGAATGGAATTTTTTCAAGGTTGCGGATACGCTTAGCTGACAAACTGGTGAGTGCCAAGTAGCAGGAAACCTAGGTCAAGCAAAGCTTTCTGCTTCCTTCTTTCCAACTAACTGATATCATCAAATCAGTGTGAAACGTGATGGCGAGCTACCTAGAATGGTGGCAGCATTGTAAACCTGACTGATAGAGTTTAGTCTGAACACATCACACTAGTTATTAGCTTCCAATCAAAGTATCTACTACAGTGCTACATGAAGTTCATCGCGAGCCCGAACAGCTCATTGGTTACATCTTTGACTGCAGCACAAGGTGACGCAGGTTCGAATCTCAGAAGGCAAATCAATTCCTCTAAGGTTGAAGATACGCCTTGTTGATTGACTGGCGAAACCTAGGTCAGGCTGAGCTTCCTGCCGACTGCCTCCAACCATCCAATACCTATAATTTTTAATAAATGTCTAAACTAGTTTCTTAGAACGTTTACGTTTTAATTACAAGGTTTTTAAGTTAAACCAAGGAAAACCCTACTGTCGACGAAACTTCATTCTATATAACACTGAGGTTATATCCCTTCAAAGTGTGACATAAATCAAATCCATTGAACATTTTGGAAAACAAATAAATTGACGCTTGATTTAAAATTCAATTAAAGTGAAACTGAAATTTCTCCTATCATTAAATTTTATGATTTAGCTTATTAAAACTACCAAAACAACAATAACAATATTATATATTGTACATTGAACACAAATTATACCTTAAATGTCAGAAAATAAATAAAGTAAATTAAAATTGTATCAATCAAATTGTTTTCCAGTTAGGTAAAATGAAACGGTTTTCAGTGCGAATTCTGGTATTTATTTACTTTTCCTGCGCCAGGATATTTATTTGTTTATTTATATATTTCCTTGGGATCACAAGCTGTTTTTGTCCCGATAGAATATGGGTAAAGTGAGAAGCCAGTGTCACAATAGTTTGGATATTTACTTAAGGAACAAAGCATGAGATAAACATGTTCCTTTAATAGCTTGATAACAAGTGGTAAACAGGTTTGACCACGAATTTATATCAGTTAGAGAACCACTGAAAACCAGGGAGTACTGGACAGGTGTTTCGTCAGCGTAGTTCGGAAATCATCTGTTAGAACCCATGACCTTCAGGTTACAAGGCAAGCTTGTATACTCTTCAGTCACTAAGACCCCATTCAGTGGCCAACTCATGAATTCTAACATTCACCGATTTGTGATATTTAGGGAAATCCATCCTCACACTTGTTGGGATAGACCTCACTAGTCACGAATTCTCATTAGAACTCCAGGAAACTCCATCATGTCACTAGTGAGTATCAGATTAATTTTCTTTAGTTGGTTTGTAAGAATTAGATTGGTTTTCCTGAGTTCTGGGTTCAAACCTCAGAGAGTGCGTACTGCCGATAATTCCCAAACTAGGATAAAACAATTGTCCATTACTCCAGTGCTGGTTTTCAGTGGTTCGCTGACTGATATCAGTCCGTGGTCGAACTCGTCAAAACAAATCTAATCCTTACAAGTCAACTATAGAATGGATCGGCTGTTAAATAGTGAAATTAGTTGAATATTATTATTTAGAGGATTTCGTCATGAACTGACATCATTTACAGAAGCATTAGAAAACCACCAAAAAATTACTGGACATCTATTTTGCCCTAGTTTGGGACTCTTCATCGGTACGCACCATGTCATGAATTGGCATAAGTTGAAATTCATGAGCTGCCCAGTGGATCGGTTCCCAGTGAATGGCCTAATTTTTTAAGAGCTCGCCAGCTTTTTAACCTAAATG